AGGAGTGCGGATTTGGAGGACATGCTGATTCGCTCCGGAATCCAACCGGTCAGGGCGTGGAGGTCGATGTTCTGTGACGTGATCGGATGATTTGTTTTTAGGGGGAGGCGGTTCAAAGGTCACCATCATAATCATCATCGCCGCCATCATAACTTACTGAGTTGGATCCGGGAAAATCGTAACCCCCCATGACCTTCATGTACGCTTTCTCCATCAGCGAGACCCACATCTCGTTGCTATTATTAGAATACGAGCACAGCAGTCGACCGTCACTGCCCAATGGCAGGTAGTCATCTATTATTATCTACCAATCGGAAAGAGGAATGCATTCACTAATTAGCATAATTCATTCCTGCATATTAATTAGTAATCAAAGTTGACCGGGCTTCCTACTTTTCTGATGACGCCATTTAAATGAAGCTTGACCATATACTTGCCCGAATCATTGAATACAGGATCGCCATTCCTGCTCTGTGGATAAATGATCCTGTTTCGAGATTGAATAGATCAGATGTCACAGAACGAACGATCGAACGAATGAATGAATGAATAAATGAATGGATGAATGAATGAATGAATGAATGAATGAATGAATGAATGACAGAACAAACGAACAAGCAAACTTTAATGACAAAAGATAAAATAGTTGAACGCAAAGAAGACAAGCAATGAAAGACAAATAAGTTCTTATTTACACTCCAGACATCATCATCATTACCTTAATAATAAAAATCATCATCATCATCATCATCATAACATCATCATCAATCACATGACATTCAGAGATTGACCCCGTGATGAGTCGCTTGTTAAATTTCTTCTCGTACTGTGCAGAAATGGCCAAAGATGCTACAAACGAACAGTCAGATACTATCGTCTGCAAAAAATAATAAAAAATTATTTATTTAATTATTCATTCATAATTATCCATAATATTCATATTAATATATAATAATATTAATAATAATTAAAATTATAACAGGCATATACTTGAAATATTTGCGTTTTATACTTAAATTAGAAGTAGATATTTATTCTTTGGTACTTCAACAGACCTGCCTAATGTTGAAACAGGATATCGAGACGACCATTTTGGGGTCCAGGGACAACTCACTCGCCCTAATCCACTTTCCGAAGTTGGATCTCTGCTTAGGGGAAAGTTTCAAGTAGCCATCCTTGTCTCTATGACGATGACGATAATGATGATGAAGATAATGATGGTGAAGATAATGATGACGATAATGATGATGATGATAGCAATGGTGAAGATAGTGATGTATCGTGAATATCACTTACTTTGTTGATAATAAAAATGCAAAGAGACGACCGTCTCTAGCTAATTTAAGTAACAAAATATTGTTTTATAAAAAAAAGCGAATGCTCAACATCAAACTAACGTGAAAGGAACAGGGTAATTAAACTTTTCCTTATAATCATCAGCCATGAATGGTACATAACTCCTGCCATTAATACATGACGTCCTCCTAATTAGCATAATTTATTCAACAATTATAATAAATTATTAATTCATGCACATATATAACATTAATCTTTTTGTGTATAACAATAATCTATTTTTGTTAGCCAGCCCAACCAAACAAAAGTTAAAAACCAAGAAAAATAATTGGTAAAAAAAACATGGACAACCTTAAAACTGCTAACTCTTCTTTGGTGTAGCTCCCACCACCGCCGCCACCACCACCACCACCACCACCACTGTTACTATAGCCACTACTGCTGCTAGTACTTTTATTTGGACTTGAATCTCTTAAAGAAAATCCTAATGGCTTCAAATTTGTTGATGAGGTTGTTGTCGTTGTTGAAGTTTTCTCTTGCAGTTGATGTTGTTGAAGATTATTTTTTGCAAATTTTATAAGTTCTGCTCTGCGTGAAGAAAAATTATCGTCATCGCCTTCGTCATCACTATCATCATCAACGTCATCATCATCACCACCACCACCATCATCATCATAACCAACCTCTCTGTAGACTGAAGAGCAAGCTGTCTCAATTTCATAGACAGATCATCGTCGTTGCTGACTTGAGCTTGCTGTAAGAAAATAATAATAATAATAATAAGTAAATAATAAAATAATAATGGACCACCAAAGAGAGGCAGAACTCAGCAGACTGCATGTACAGCTCAAATGCCTCATCATCTTTCTTACTCTCTTCCATTTCAATGGCTTTTAGCATCAATGATTTGGCTTTGGCTATTTTCTTGGAGTAGTTATTTTAGAAATATTATAATTAATTAAAATTATAATGATAATTATGACTATTATTTATAAAATTATGTACATATTTAACGAGATAATATTCATTTTGAGATAATACTATACAACTATATATAATCATTAACTCTACATAACTATAGAAAAATCTATATAACCGTTATTGATTATATATATAGTTATATACTGTTATATACGGTTATATAGATTTAAATATAGTTATTTAGAGTTATTAATTATATATAGTTATATAGTTTTATATACACACATATACATTTTATGTCAGATGAAATTAAATGCAATCATGTAATAATTTAGTTTTTAATAAAACCTTGTTAATTTCCACATGCATGTCATTTTTTTGGCTTGAAACTATGGAATGAAAAAAAGGAAAATAATTATATTATCATAATATTGACATATTTATTATAAATATTAATATATATATAATTATAAAAAGCATAAAATTATTATATTTAGAGAAACACAAAAAAGATATTTTATTTTTTAAGTACTTATGCTTTTGAGTTGAGAACATCTATTTTCATATTCTGTGATTTGAGACATGAGGTTCGCTGAATGGCTTTCTTGTAACAATTTCGTTGTCTCCTGACAAATTAGTGATTATTTTTATATTTCAGAAAGTGCTCATTCATAAATAAATTTCAATTTTTGAAAAATGGTTGAAAATGGTTGAAAAATGGAAATATATATATATATATATATATATATATATATATATATATATATATATATAATAGCAATAGTAAATTATTTGGCAAGTCTTATTTATTATTTTTCAATTAATTTCAATTTAAATAATTCAATTAATTTTTAAATGGCCCAGTCAAATCAATGAGACTTCTGAACTACAAAACAAACCAAACACAAAAATTAAAATTCTCAACTACCGTGTAATATTTAATGGCAGCTTCATAATCTCCACTGCGATCGCATTCAACGGCCAACGTGGCAGTTTTTAAAATTTCCTGCTCCAACTGCGATGACATCATTTCGATTCGGTTGTTAGGTGATTAGGTTTTTTTTGGAACTCAACATTAGTGGAATTGGATATTTAAATTGGCTGGATGTAATCTGAAAAAGCAAAGAACCGAAATAAATGGCCTACCAATTAACAATTATTCTAGTTATGTGATCCGTACAATACGTTTTTATTAATTTATTAATATTTATATTTGAATTGACAAAAATAATTGTAAAATACATAATTAGATTTGAAAAATAAACAGTTTTTGTTTTAATACTATAAACAATATATATATATATATATATATATATATATATATATATATATATATATATATATATATAATATAAATATATATATATATATATATATATATATATATATATATGTATATATATATATATATATATGTATGTGTGTGTGTGTTTTAAACATAAAAAATCATTATTTTGCATTCTAGTATAGTAAAATTGAAACAACATAACATGGAATGCTATGAACACGCCAGCAAAGCGAAGAAAGCCAAATGGCCCGACCCTGTTTAAAGTTGCAATAAGAATACCGGAAGTGTATTGAATAAACTTCGTTTGTTGAAAACATCATTAAATTCCTAACGATAAAAATTAGTGATTAGTGAGTTAGGCGGTGTTATTTTAGGAACAAACTGCGAATTTATGTCTTCAAATTTCACTTAACTTCAATAAAAAAAACTCTATAATTTCATTTGAATTTATTTTCATTGTTATCAAATTTTAAAGGCCAAAGAAAATTAAAGTTACTCTTTCTTTCTCAGTCATTTGATTGACAAATTCCTTAAATTTTCTTCCACTGATCAAACAATACAAACAGCGAATTTGACCCGAACAAGATGGCGTCTGCAGCAGCAACAGGGAAAACATTTCAATTCAAATTAGTTCTGCTGGGTGAGTCAGCTGTTGGCAAGTCCAGCTTGGTTTTAAGGTTCGTGAAGGGGCAGTTCTACGAGCACCAAGAGAGCACCATTGGAGGTCTGCAGTACATCTATCTTTTACTAATTTCTAAAAAATTACTTTTCAAATTGACAATTTTCATTTATTTTATTCATATTGGTTATTTTTTTATTACTTCTCATTATTACTCTTTCTATTTATTTTTTTTATTTCTAATCTAAATTGAAACTTTTAATTTTTTATTCATTTTCATTTGATCCAGCTGCATTCCTTACCCAGACAATCAACCTGGATGATATGGTCATCAAATTTGAGATCTGGGACACAGCTGGTCAGGAAAGGTTTCACAGTTTGGCACCCATGTACTACAGAGGTGCCCAGGCAGCCATTGTTGTCTATGACATTACTAACAAAGTAAATTTTAAAGTTTTTAGTACATTTTTTTTTGGGCATTCAACTTTTTGAGATATTTTACTAAAGTTACGTGACAATTTATCAGTTGAAATAAAATGAAATTATTCATTGTTTTCTATTTTTATTAAGGAAAGTTTCAACAGAGCAAAAGTTTGGATCGAAGAATTGCAGAAACAGGCAAGTCCCAACATTGTCATAGCATTGGCTGGCAATAAAAATGACCTTGACACCTCAAGGACAACTACTTATGAGGTTTTCTAAAAATAGCATTTATAGTAATAAAGATATAAAGAATTAGTGATAAAGTTAAAACCCATTTTGTTATCATTTTTATAGTAACTTTTCACAAAAGTGTATTTTCTTCATTCCTTATATTCTTCATTCCTTGTCACAGGAAGGCAGTGCATTTGCAGAGGAAAATAATTTGTTATTTCTAGAAACCTCAGCAAAAACAGCTAACAATGTGAATGAAATATTTATGGTGATAGGTATGTGAGTGAGTGAATGAATAAATGTGTGCAAGAATGGGTAAAATTCAAAATCACCTATCCACATTTCAATCCTTAACTCAATATTTGATCTGGTATCAATTGAAGATTCATCAATTTAAGAAAAGATGGGGAGCCATTTTTTGAACCTTAAAAATATTCTTTGGTAACATTTCTCAGCAAAGAAACTGCCAAAGGTAAACCCGACAACCGCCGGGCCACAGAGAGCGCAAGGAAATGTTGATCTGAACCCTCAACAGAATACTCAATCGTCAAAAGGATGTTGCTAAATTATATTCACTTCTTTGTATATTTTTTAATTATTTAAGTTCTTTTTGTACCATTTTTTTACATTTTTGGTTCATTTTGTATAAAAAAAAACTTTATTTTTTTTTATCCATTCATTTTTCTCAACAAGTGTAAAAACTGAATTTATTCTTTTGATAGTGACACATTTTTATGATAATAACTAATTGTTATTATAAATAATAATAATAGATAACGTGCTAATAATGATAATCTTTGCTTTGTATTTCATTGTTACATTGGTGTGTACTAATTTATGCCAGGACATTAACTTCTCTGATCATTGTAACAACTAAAACCACATTCGTCATCATTACTCAAATCACCATTTTTATTATCATCATCTTTATCATCATTATACTGTGGCAACTATTGTTAATGATATTAACAATTATACACACACACATATATATATATTCATATATATATATATATATATATATATATATGTGTGTCTATTTTCCAAGTTTTTATTTCATTTTAGTTTATATATATATAATTTATAGTTTGTATATCTACATATATAAATTTGTTTAGTTATTCAAGAAAATTTCGTTTAATAACTGATTTTCATTTGGTCTGTTATCAACTTTACTATGAATATTTTCGGATAAACACACACAGACACACAAATATATATATACATGATATATATATATATAATATAAACACCAATGTTAATTTATTTTTGCTCAATTTGCAGACAATGTGTACTACTAACGATCCGTCAATAAACTCATAATGATACCATTACCCAACAAAGACAATCTTTCATACGGTTCTCTTAATCTTTTTAGCCAAAATCTATTGATTTTGGGTTGAAAAAACGAATAACAACGAAAACAACTTTGCACCAGCCCTGGCTGGAAAATTGTATTTTAGTCTATTTTTTGGGTAGGATTGGCAACCAGCGTGAGTTGATCGACTAAAACAGGTGGGAATTTGAGAAATAACAAATTTTTGTTCAGAACGAACTGTTGCGTTGGTTGATTTTTTATCCTTTCATTCGTTTGAAGAATTACAAATGAACCAATAATCCACCATTATTTATCATCATCACTATTACTACTTTAATGGATAATTGTCATTTTATTTCAACAACAAAAGGTTTAGGAGAATGGAGAAATAACTAAAAATAATAAAATTATGTAACAATAACAAACAAAATTCTCTCATGTACGTGTCTGTCTGTATTCGTATGTATAATAATATGTATGTATCTGAATTACTGTGTGTGCATAAAAGCCACCTTGTGCACACAGAATATAAACATCAAGCTTATTTGAAAGTTATTTCTTTAATTATAATAAAAAATAACAATAAATAATTAATAAAGATAATGATTTCAAAACAAAATCCTCATCAGGCCTCTTGTAATTATTAATTATAAACACGCACACACACACGCACATGTATACAATTTTATATACTAGCAAATAACAAATTTTACATGACATATTTATAATAATTAATGATAATATAATTATAAATGGCGGTAGAAGTAGTGGGTCTTGGGAATCTAAGTACATACATTGAGTTAGGCAGGCAGGCAGGCCAGATTAGGACATAGCCCCAAAAACAGGGTTGTGCCTACAAATGGATGGACCGTATTCGTCATAGTCAGCTTTCGTGTGGCAAACCCTGTAGAACTCAGGCTGGCGATTGGTGAGTTTTATAGAGTATTCAACAATTTTAAATTATTTATTTATTATTTACAATTTTTTTTTACAAAAAAGTACACAAAATTGCATCAACTAACAGTGGAGGCCAACATACTTCCACCAAACCAGACGGCATATCTCTGCATGTTGTGTGTTATCACTTGAATCTCAATTGGCTTAGGCTGTCAGATGAGTTACCACCGCATAGTTAAATAATTGGTAACAAATTAACGTAATGTATATTCAAATTAAAAATTTTATGCAAACGACCCCTTGCCTTTAAGGTGCCTCCGCTGAGTTCCTCGCTGATCTTCAGCCTGTTCTCGACTATCCTTTTGAGATCTCTCTGCAGTCTGCGACCAAAATCTTTAAACATGGTGGACCCACCCGACAGCACTACATTCTACAGTCAATGGATATGAATAATGATTTGTGAGAATGAATTCTGGAAAATTTCGAAAATTAAGTGAACAAAATTTGAGTAGATGTTTCTTGTTTGTTAGAACCTTGTAGAGAGATCTCCTGACATCTATTGGGCAATTCTGGATGACCTCATCAACCGTTTCAGAAATAGGAACTGTGAAGTCGGGGTTAGTGAACTGCAAAGTAGGAAAAGAATGACAAATTTTCAAACTAAAATAAAATTAGAACACACGTTAAATCACTAACAAACACAGACACCAACAATGACAATGAATAAAAACGACAACTTCTCTTGCAATCGTTAACAAGACAACCAACACTCCCCAATCCCTAACCTCAGGGTGAAAAAAAACTTCAGGGCCGAGGAATCTCTCGTAGCCGACTTCAACTGAGAAAGGTTGCTTGGTGATCGAGTTGACCCCATCATACTGCTTGATCCATTTGCTCATCTCACTGTCATACTTGGCAAATTCTTTCACAATGTCAGGACATACATAGGAAAATCTTTCCTTGAGGGGGGAATAACATTAACAGGAGTTTAAGGTTACTATACTAATTAATAATATCATGATGAATGAATGATAAATCCATCCAAACATACATACATACCTTGATGGCTTTCGCTGTCTCCATAGATTGTTCTGGTGGAATGTTACTCTCCCTCTCTCTATATTCAATAGTTATAATAAATTTAATTATAGTCATAATAATAAATAAATAATTAGGAATGTAATAATTATGAGGACCTGAGCAGCTGTTGTATGAAAAATGTTATATCCCTGCCAGCAATGGGTATGTGCTTGATGCAGCTGCCAATCACGTAGCCCTCAGCCTTGGGTGGTGGCAGATGCGTAAAAGTTGACCAGAGGAAATCAAATAAACATTTTGGAGAGCAAAAATATAAACTCAGGAAAACAAAAAAATGTTACTAACAACTGGAATGACGTGAGTGACACCATCTCCAGAATCAATTACCGTTCCAGTCAGAGTACGTTCAGATGACAACTTCGAAGTCCACGATGCCGAGAGAGCTAACACAGCCTGATGATTTGGAAGTCAACAGGTATGATAAATCAAAAACAAAAAAAATTTAAAGAGAATTTGAGAAAATTAATTTAGAAAACATAAGCTAAAGGAAAAGCCATCTTGCAAACCTGTACGGCTATATATAATCCAGGGACATTGAATGATTCAAACATTATTTCGGCTGTGTACTCTCGATTCTCAGGAGTATTCAGCGGGGGCTCGGTCTTTTAGATGCACAAGAATATTTATTAAGTGTTCACATAGTTAACTAATTAATTAGTGAAAAATAACCAGCAGGAAGTAATGATCTTCGGGTTCTGCTTTTAAATATTTAAAAATAGCCTGCTCCATGAATCTCTCCATCAGATCCCAATCTTCAACTATTCCATGCCTAATTGGCCACTGATTTTAAAGAATTATAATAACATTTATAAAATATTTGTGTCACAAAAACTGAGAAAACATATAAAAGTGGATTGAAATTTAAACTAACTTTTGTAGCATAATTAGTTGCTTCCATAGCCTCATCTCCAATGTAGAAGTCCAGATCTTCCACACCTTTCCCTAGTCGACGACTAGCCTGGTCTCCAACTTTGGCCGTCTCTTTAATCGCAATGCACGACGGAATTATGAACTGAGGCTCCGTATTTCCGGCATATCCCAATTTAGAGTAGCTATCATGAAAATTAAAACATCATGAGTCCTCTTACAATGCAATTGAATAAGCGACAGCATTAAGCTATTACTAGAAGCAGTGTTAAAATAAAAGTAATGAATAAAATTAATTAAACGCATTAGAATGAGAAATAGGTGAGTAGAGAAATACAAGTTTACCCGGTTCCGTTATCAATAACAACAGCAGGAAGACGATTAGCCATGATCGTTTGCTTTCAGGTGTTAGAAATTATTTAAAATTCTAAATAAATTCTAGAACGATCCGGATCACTAATTTCGAGATTAATTACGTTTCCAGGTGAAACTAACAACTAAAATTAAATTAACTTCCTAATTTCTTAAACACCCACCCGGAATTGAAGTAAATTAGTGAAGGGTGCGTTTTGGTAATCTATAAGAAAAAAATTGCTGTGACGCATAACTTTTTTCTGTAAAAAATTTTAGCACTTTTTATTTAAAAAACACCAAACAATAGTATCATGTGCAATTTTTTATTTTAAACCTCTATATACATTAACAATCTAATATGTTTCTTCTAAAAAATGCCAAAAATTCGCTTTTTACTCACATTTTACAGGAATAAAACATTATACATAGATTATATACAATACATGAATGAATCATACACATATATCTGCATGTATTGTATAAATGTATTGTATAAAAATGATTATATATATATATATATATATATATATATATATATATATATATATATATATATATATATATATATATATATATATATATATATATATATGTATAATTATTCTAAACAGCTATCAATGAATGAATGACATATTAACTCTAATGCTAATACACATAATTACGCACACACACACACACACTCACAGACACACACTCACACACACACACGTATATATATATATATATATATATATATATATATATATATATATATATATTAATACAATGGTTACTGTGACGGCTTTACATGTAAAAGCGGATACAAAATTTAAATTTAAAACTTGATTTTAAGCGGTGGTGACTTGGCTTCATTGGTGTTAATGAGGATTTTTTGAAATTATTTAAATATAATAACAAATATAAATTAATTAACTAATTATTATAATTATAGTTCACAATTATAATATAGTAATATTATTTACGATATAATACCTACTTATTCTGACGTTTTACTTACTATATTTAAATAAGAAGCAAAAGCATTTTTCAATCTACATAAAGGCAAAAAAGTAATATTATTCATTAATTATCGATTGATTCATCATTCATTCATTCGTTCGTTCATTCATTCGCTCATTTTTTCATTCATTTATAGAGTATTCAACAATTTAAAATAATCGATTTTATTTATATTTCAATGTATTGTACTTAATTGATAGAAGTATGCTAAGTATTTGATTCACTTGCACAGCTGTTGGGGTATCTGTGTATCAATTTAAATTGTATGTGTTTGTATGTATGTATGTATTTGTATGTATGAATGTATGTATTTGTATGAATGTATATATGTATGTATGAATGTACGTATGTATGTTGTACGTATATATGTATTTCTCTTATTGTCTCAGGCACATGTTATACATGCATTTTCATCATCATCATTGTTGTCATCATCATCGTCGTCGTCTTTATCATCATCTTTGTAATATAGGATGTTGGCAATTAATTTTATCCAAGGCATTTTAACGATGCACCTCTGCCTCTCTTTTTGATTTTTTTTGTTCTTCCTATTATATATTTATTATAATAATAATAATTATAATTATTATTATTAATGGTGACTACTACTACTACTACTACTACTACTACTACTACTACTACTACTACTACTACTACTACTACTACTACAAATAATAATATTACAAAAACAGATTCCATCAACATGGAAACAGAAGTCTTGGATCAGTGTGATGATATGGAGAAACTGCAGACGATGGTAATGATGATGATGACGACGACAATGATGACGATGACGATGATGATGATTATTATTATTGTTATTTTCAGCTGGACAACTCGGATGATTTGGAGTTCAGGAGGTTGGTCAGATTGAAGATAAGAAAACTCAAAAAAGGTTATCATCATCATCACTTGTTTTTATCATCATCATCATCAACAACAACATCATCATTATCATCAACAACATCATCATCATCAACAACAACATCATCACCAACAACAACAACATCAACAACAACAACATAATCATCATCACTTTTTTTATCATCATCATCAACAACAAAAACAACATCATCATCATCATCAACAACAACAACATCATCATCAACAACAACAACAACAACATCATCAACAACAACAACAACACAGATAAACAAGAAAATAATGAACCAACAACAACAAACAACAAGCAGCCACAACGTTACCTACCGCAGCCCAAACATTTTGTGCCGCAACAAACAACAACAACAACAAAAAACAACAACATCAACAACAACAACAAAATTACTACTCCAAGCATTAGCGAGAACGTTAATACCAAATTAATATGCGACAGTATTGGCAGCAGCAGTATTAGTAATAGTTGTAATAGTAGTAGTGGCAAAAGTAATAGTAATAGTAGCAAAAATAATAGTAATAGTAGTAATAGTCGTAGTGGTGGTGGTAGTAGTAGTAGTATTAAAATTGATTTCAAAGAGACTGTTACTAATTTGAGAAAAATTTCCGTGAATATTTTCAGCGCCGACAACGCCACGACTCCTCTCTCTGGTTAATTATGACTATAATTAAATAATTTTTCGTAGTAATAATTATTATTTTATTTTTTAATTGAATCAACGAACAAATGAATGGATGGATGGTTGGATGGATGGATGGATGATTGGATGGATGGATGGATGGATGGACGGATGGATGGATGGACAGACGGATGGACGGATGGATGGATGAATGAATGAATGCCAAGCAAATACGACCCAATAAATTAAATAATTTTCTTCCCCCGAATCAAGATAACAAGCAAAACGTATTAAGTCAAGCGAATCTCAAACCAGCATCATCGTCATCATCACCGTCACCGAGACTACAATCATCATCGTCGTCATCGTCATCATCATCATCATCTAAACAACAACAACAACAACAAAACAACGATAATTCATTCAAAATCCCGCCTGTCGTGTTGAAAAGTGTTGCAGCGACCGCGTCATCGTCGGTTGTTTCTGGGTTAAGCGCTAGAAAAAGTATGTCAAACGGTGATGATGACGTCATTGGTGGTGGTGATGATGATGATCAATTACTACTACTACTACTAATATTAACAATAATAATTATTATTGTTGTTATAATACTACTACTACCACTACTACCACTACTACTACTACTACTACTACTACTACTACTACTACTACTACTACTACTACTACTACTACTAATAGTAATAATAATAATTATTATTATTATTGTTATAATAATAATAATAATTAAATTATTCTAGGTGGAAGCAACAATATACCGACAGCCAGACAAGCTCTGCGTCATTTCAAACAGATTGATAAAGAAGTCCTCTTGAGAAACAACAAGTTATTATAGTTATAGACATTGTTAATTAATTAATTCATTCATTCATTCATCCATTCATTCATCCATTCATTCATCCATTCATCTATTCATCCATTCCCAGTGGATCTAAGGATATTTTGGACAAGTTGAAACGAATTAGTCCGTCCAATCCAAACAACATCAAAGAACAGACATTGAATTGGTGCAAGAACAGATTATCTGGATATGAGGTTCATTCATCCATACATTCATTCATTTATTCATGCATTCATTCATTTATTTATACATTCATTCATACGCTCTTTCTTTCACTAATTGGTTCGTTCATTCATTTGAAGGTTTTCTCGATTTTATGTAAGTTTCGTTTGTTCGTGCGTTCGTTTAATTGTTCATTCATTCATTCGTTCATTCATTCGTTCATTCATTCGTTCATTCATTCGTTCATTCATTCATTTTTCATTCTTTCTTTCTTTCTATCTATCTATCTAGAACATAAACATAGAGGACTTTTCAGCAAGTTGGAGTGATGGTTTGGCCTTCTGTGCTCTAGCCAATAGTTTCTTTCCGTCTGAATTTGACTACGATCAACTGACCAATCAGAATCGTCGTTTCAACTTCAAATTGGCTTTTGATGTTTTAGAGTAAGTTTTACCATCATCATCGTCATCATCATCGTCATCATCATCGTCGTCATCGTCATCAGAGACAAAGCAGGAATAGCTCCATTGTTGGACGTAGAGGACATGCTGACCACAAGCCAGCCTGATTGGAGGTGCGTCTTCACGTACGTTAACTCAGTCATATCGCGAATGTCCGAGATCAAGAAGCAGCAGCAGCTACCACAGCTGCCACAGCAGCTGAAACAGCAGCTGCCCCAGCAGCTAGAACATCAAGACTCGCTTCAGCTACAGGAAGATGAAGTTAACGACGACGATAACGTTGATAGTAGCCTTAAATCCCATGCTGATAACAGAACTGGTGATTCCAACAATAATGATGTTGATGATGATAACACATGAAAAATATATACATATACACGTATAGTCACATATACATATATACACATAACTATATAACACAATTGTTTGCAACTCATAATACAAATGTGTAACATGATATGATATAATGAAATATATAGCATTATTTATATATATATATATAGTATATATTTGTTTGATGGTCTAATAGTTAAGGTGCTTGACACCGATGTCGTACTGGCTGGGTTCGATTGCAAAGAGATCCCCGCGAATCACATGCAACGTGTGCTTGACACGATGATGATGATGATGAGGACGATGATGATGATGATGATGAGGACGATGATGATGATGATGAGGACGATGATGATGACTTTCTTATTGACGATGCAGTTCTTTATTCTTAACCAGTGCAAGTTCTTGTTTGTTAGCAGCTGTTTTTTCAAATAAAAATTATTTCCTTTTCTTCAATTTTATTTTAAAATAAACAATTGAATGAATGAATTGTGAGTCAGGTAGAAGCAATTTGGCCTATATCGTACCACACACCAACAACCACACCAGACAATAAAAATCCATTCGTGAACATCTGCCTAGCCAAACACATTTCATAAGACATGCCCAATTATACAAAGTCCTTTTCATGATAGACAATTCATACACTTACATACACACACAACACATACACAAACAATCACACACACACACACACACACACACACACACACACACATAACAAACGCTATCAAATGCAATAACTATTCAATAAGGATGTGTATGTATGTATGTGTGAATGTTTGTATGTGTACATGTTTGTGTGTGTGTGTGTGTTTGTGTGTATATATGTATTATTATTATTCTCAGTAGTATCGTAATATACATTTTCCATTTCACACACCATCAACCTTGCATTATTATTAATGTTGTACATATGTGCGTATGTATGTATGTATGTATGTATGTATGCATGTATCCATGTATGTATTTGTATGTATGTATGTATGTATTTGTATGTACAACAATTCAAGAGAGAGGAAGTAGAGAGAGGATCGGCGGTATATATAAATAGCTGGAAGTTATTTTGTCAAAAGTAGGTATGGAGGGACCCAGAAATATGTTTAAACGTGAGTTTTTATTTATTTATGTATGTGGTTATGTTTGTGTGTGTGTGTGTGTGTGTGTGTGTGTGTGTGTGTGTGTGTGTGTGTGTGTAGGTATGTGTGTTTATAATGTTATTGTTGTTGTTGTTGTTGTTAATCATGCTGCTGCTAAAATGTCATAAAAATGGATATTTACACACCCACACACGAACACACACACACACTTTACACACACAAAAACACACACACACACTTGCACATACATACACACAAACATGCATATGTATATATACCCTCATACAAACACACATACATTCATTTAATGGATAATAGATGGATTTACAAATAGACAAACCCAACAAAGTCAACATCGTCATTTCGATACCTGCTTTATTATGGTTTAAATAATAATAAATAATAATAATGTTGTAAATAATAAAAATTAAAATAATAATAATTAATAATAATATAAATAATAATAGCTATAATAATAGTAATATATGGCTTCGTCTAATTTATCCGAAGCAGCTATTTGCTTAAAATCTAACAACAATAATTTAAACAACAACCGTAACAAACAAGCTGGTGAATATTCGTACATACTAACCGATTCGTCGGTATTTTGTCATAACAATGACATCCCTAATTCCCCATCACTTTTTCTGACGTCACTGCCATCCGGGATGACGTCATCGCATACGACCACAACGACAATAGCCACAATGGACCACAATGATGACGACGATAATGTTGGTTTGGATTATTTCAACGGAACGAGCCAAAGATACTTAACAAGACGTGAGTTATTCTTAGTAACATCATCTTCAATATCATCATCATCGTCATCATCATCGTCATCATCATCAATACCATCTGCATCATCATTTTTCCAGGAGTGTCTACAATATCTAGTAGCAGACTGTCCGACCATCTCTACAAGGATCACGTGACTGAGGGACTCACTTCCGCTTACGATTGTTACTATGACGTCACCAGCATCAGCAACAACAACAACAACAGTAGTTGCCACAACGACCACAACAATAACGAAAATAGTTTCCATGAATACGAAGATAACGAATGCAACAACCCATCTGTTGTTAATGGTGCTGGTTATGATATTGGTGCCGTTGCAGTGGCGGCTTCTGATGCTGCTGCTGCTGCTAATGGTGGTGGCAGTAGTAGTGGTGATGGTACAGTTTGTTCTAAAAGCTCAACATCAGATGCTAAAACTAGATCAGATCAAAATATTATAATATGGAAGAAAGAGAAAAAAAATGTTGAGAGCTGCACCACCACAAACAACAACATTAACAACAACAACAACATCAACAAAAACATCAACAACAACAGCAACAACAACAGCAACAACATCAACAACAACATCAACAACAACAACAACAACAGAACCGCCTACGACAACATTGTAGTAATTGAGACGCACACACACACCATTTCAACAATCACAAACACATTCCCAACTCAGTCACCCTCACAAAAAACATCACCATCTCGCCAAATTAAACCCTCCCCATCATTAAAACCGCCATTTTTAACTGAAAAACGGGCGAAGACAAAGACTCAAAAGTTATACTCATGCCTAAAAGCTTTCCTGGCTTTCATTTTCTCCACAATCGGCCTATTTTTCTTGCTAGTAGTTTACATAATTCTTGGTGGGTTTATTTTTCAAGCCCTGGAGGCCCCAAACGAACGTAGGGTGAATAGGGAGATGACCCAGTTGAGAAGGTCAAGGGTCGAATATCTGTGGAACGTCACACTGGAATTGAACACGTTACACCCTGCCAAGTGGAGCAAGTATGATTACTTCTATTACGACTACCACTGCCGCTGCTAATTCTACTGCGACTACTACTACTTTAATTTTTGCTGCTACTTCTGATACCACTAGTTCTGCTGCTACTGCTGCTGCTTCTTCTACTACTGAAACGCTTATGAAATGCATTCTATGTATACAAGAAACGTGTGACGCACGTATTCGTCAATATTGCCAAGCGCAAAAAATATTTATTTAATGCTTAAACACACACACACACGCACGCACACACACACGCACGCACACAAACACACACGCACAGATTTGCGGACGAACTTCTAGAGAACTACACAATGGAAATATACCAATCAATTAAAACTAAAGGCTGGGACGGAAAAGATGACGACGACGACGATGTCATAAAAAGCCACAAAAAACGACCCCTTAATAGTACCAACAACATCACTACTAGCTCTAGTAGTGCTGTTGTTGATGATGATGACGATGATGATGGTGGTGGTGGTGGTGGCGGTGGTGGTGGCGGTGGACAGGAATTGCAATGGACATTCGCGGGAGCCTTACTTTATTCTATCACTGTCATCACCACTATTGGTCAGTTATCATCATTTCGTCATCATCGTCGTCTTCATCATTATTCTTATCATTTTATTATTATTTTCATGATTGGAATTCTCCGTCAAATCATCAAAGACGTTTGCCATCATTGTATTAACCTCAGAACGCACTTGCCACTTCTTTTGTGAGGCATGTTTGCACACATATCTAACCAGAGAGCAAACAATTAAACAAATACACACACACGCACACACGCACGCACACTCACTCACACACACACACACACACGCACGTATAGGGTACGGACACATCGCCCCGAAAACAGACTGGGGTCGAATTGTCACCATGTTGTACGCCATACTTGGAATCCCACTGACTCTTTTCACCATCACCAACCTCGGCAGCTTCATGGCGACAGCTTTCAGGTTCACGTATCGAAATGTCTGCTGTCGACTGTGCTGCCTCTGCTGCCCGCCCTACTGCGGGGGCTTCGCTGAGGAACGGCCGGTTAAAAAGGCACGAACCCAGAGGGGACGAAAAAAATCTGCAACTAGGGAGTTGTTACTTATGAGTCGAACTGTTGCAGCTACGTTAGTCCCGCCTGAGAAGAAGAGTAAAAATAAATTTTCAGTTAAGAAGAAGAAGAAGTGGAAACGGCAGGATGAAAGTTTCCACGGCGATGTTGTTGTCGTCGTTGAACCGCTGAGCAGATCCGACGATCAAACTTATCAACTGGAGACTGATCATCAACTACAACAACAACAACAACAACAAAAACAACAACAACAACAACAACATGCAAGTCAAGAACAACAAATCATCCAACATCACTTAGCAATCGATGTGGATGAAGAACGATCAGATGAACTTTCGATATCCCACCCCGTGTTAGGCCTGCGAAAGTTGCAGCTTCAACAGCAGCTTCAACAGCAACAGCAACTGCAACAAGCAGACAAACAGACAGACGACGTCATCAACACCAGCATGGAGGACGACAAACTAACTCAATCACTGGACATTCAGCAGGCCATCAAGAAAGAAGGAAAGCGAAAACTTCCATCCTCATTGTTCTGGCCTAGAAGGGAACTGAAAAGAAAGTGGAACGCTATCAACTCTTCACATCCAACTCTCACTGCGACTTCAAAAGCGACGACCGCTACCACATCGACCACAACGCACCATTTCATCAGCACCTTGAAAAAATACAACAAACAAACAACGCTTCATAGCAAACTTCGGCCGCAAACTTCACCTATCTCTAAGAAGAGACGGAAAAAACATCACAGCCCCCAGGACCACGTGACGTCATCAAATCACGACGTAGATGATTGGCGGAAGAGGTTCGACTTAATCTTCTTCACGAGTGACATCAAACAAGTGAAGGTTCCCATCTACATCAGCCTGCTGATAATTACCATCTACATTGCCCTCGGTGCTACGCTGTTCAGCTTGTGGGAGAAAAATTGGAGTTATCTGATTGGCTGCTATTTTTGTTTCATCACCCTATCAACCATAGGTTTTGGGGATTACGTTCCAGGAACAAGCTCTGACCAATGGAATTCTCAGGCGAAGTTGGTGCTGTGCGCTCTGTACCTCTTCGTCGGGCTGGCCCTTATCGCCATGTGCTTCGACCTCATGCTGGAGCAGATTCGGAGCAATTTGAAAGAGTTCGCTAAAAAAATCGGTCTATTGACTAGTGACGATGAAGGAGAAGATGACGATGAAGATGACGATGAAGATGACGATGAAGATGACGATGAAGATGACGAAATGTTATACAGAAAAAGTAAATATAAATCAACCGTGTGATGTTTGTGCTGTTGTTGAAGGTGAAGGTTATAGAGATGATGATGATGATGATTATGATGACAATGATAATGATGGAAAAGTACACTTTGATGATGATGGTAATGATGACAAGCCACAACTTTGTGACAAACGATATGAATAATGTACATTGATAATTTATGAATGAATATTTGATGCATGTATGCAGCACATGCAACACTACATTCACACACACAACACGCACACACAGCACATACACACCGACAAACACACACACATACAAACATACATACTTACAAACTTATACACAAACAAACATACAAACATACATGCAGACATACAACTCCAGTGTCACGTTATGATGTGTTTTTAAACCAATTACAAAGAGACTCATCCAGAAACATAACAAATTGATTAAACTCTTCAGGCACACAAACATAGATGAACACATACAAACATAAATACATACAAAAACACATATATACAAACATATACAAATTGAACGTTAAACAAACATACAAATCTCCTTAAACATTCACCAACAAATCGATACACACTTAAACATATTACCATTCATAAAAACACAAATACACAAGTGCATGTACATAGACAAACAAACACACTTACAAACACATACAAACACATACAAACAATAACACGTACACAAACACACTGGCATAATGTAAGCCTAACATAATTTGGTCGCTTGTTTGTCGCATATTGGCTTTCGTAAGAATTATTCTCGAAATTATTTTATTATATTAAATAGAAATAACAATAATAACAACAAAAACAATAATAAAATAATAATAATAACAACAACAACAACAACAACAATAATAATAATAATAATATTGGCCATCGCTCCAATTATCGCTCTTATTTTTCGTTTATTTTTCCATTAAATTGTTCTATGTGACACTTTGATCTGTTTGTTTATGTTTACGCATAGATAAATAATGTTTTTAACACATAGATATATAATTAAGTACTGTTATTATTGTTATTATTTCCATTACCATTCCAAATTATCCTTCCAGAGCTATTTAACGGCGAATATTTTCAAGGAGTTTTTTCATGGTACAACTGCTGCTGCAGCTGCTGCAGTTGCTACTACTACTACTACTACTACTACTACTACTCAACTACCGCTACTACTACTACTATTACTACCACTACTACTACTTTTACTGCTACTACTGGTGCCATCACAAATCTTATACAGATACAATGTCACAGTTACCACTAAAAAGACTGCGGTTTTTACCAATACTATCATTATTATTATTATAAATGTTATTATTATAATTATAATAATTATTATTATTATTATTATTGTTATTATTATACTAGTGGCGAAAATTAACGCCAATGTTTTTTGCAGTGTGCAAGTCGCAGAGAGGGAGCCAATCGATGGAATCAATGGTTTGATGATTATTATTGCCGGGTTGATTATTATTAGTATTATCATTGTTATTATTATTGTTGTTGTTGTTATTATTGTTGTTGTTATTATTGTTGTTGTTATTATTGTTGTTGTTATTATTTTGTTAAATGTAGTACGCGCTGCTGGCGTTATCATTCATTCATTCTGTAAATTTCACTTTCACTCTATCTACCTTCGGAATTATTTTCAAGTCGTTATTATTATTATAATTATAACTATTGTTATTATTGTTATTATTATGTTATTATTATTATTATTGTTATTTTTAAATGGTTGTTACTGTTGTTTTTTGCTTCTGATATTTTTATAATATACAAAGGACTTCTAGATAATGGATGAATGACATTCTTTACATTGCGCTCTGACTTTCATTCATACATTCAATCATTTGTTCATTCATTCATTCATTCGTTCGTTCGTTCGCTCGCTCGTCTATCATTCATTCATTCATTTATTTTTTCTTTCTTTCGTTCATTTATTTGCCTTTTCATTCAGTCATTTAGTCAATCAATCAGTTATTCCATCTATTGTTCTCCAACGCGCGCATCTTTTCATTCTTTCATTTGCTCTTTCGTCTACTCATCCACTGTTCCTATATTCACTCATTCATTCTTTTATTTATTTATTCATCTATCCATTCATTCATTGATTTATTCATTCATTCATTCAATCATTCATTCACTCACCCACTCATTCATGTATTCATTCATTCACTCATTTATATTAATTTCGTCGTGAGAGTGCCATACTTTGTGGGTGTCACACGCCACCAAATGAAATGACAACAGACAACTAAAAAATTATTAGTTCCATTACAACCACTACTACTACTGCTGCTGCTGCTGCTGCTGCTGCTGCTGCTGCTACTATTACTAATAGGGCTGTTGATGACGATGATAACGACGATGATGATGGTGACGATAATGATGATAATATTGACAAGAGGGTCTAGAATGAGATCATTAAAACATTCCAAACAATATGAAGTACGTACGTACAGACATACATACGTACATACATACATATATACATACATACATACACACATACATACACACACACAAACATACATATATGTATCTACACTTAAACATATGAATGATGAGCACATATTTGATCCGAAAAATATACATATAGATATGTAAGATAGATAAACACCAGACGGACAAAGAGACATACAGACAGAGATAAACCGATCAATCAATGAAATGATTAAATAGCACAGACAGATAGACAGATAGATACATTTTTTTTATTAAAATAAATCTAACACACAACACGCAGTTATGCAATTGAATAAACTATTAGTTTTATTTTCAACCTCATGCGATATAATTAATTAATAAATAAATAAACGTTAATTTTAATTTTCAACAAAATTGTCTTCAAACTTATGATTAATTAATTAATTAATTAATTAATTTTTTAATAAACAATTCAATAAATCATCTAATTGAGTAGATAAATAATTAATTAATTAACTTAATAATTTTAACCAAACGTATGTTTTAACCCACTCAAATTCATTATTAATCCATTTCGCCTCCACCTTTTCGCCTTTTCTCAACTTCCGGGTTTTCTAAGTTGGCAAAAAAATTATGAAAATGTAAAATATTAAATGTTTAAAGACTATCTTGGTCTTGCAGTTGTCGCAGTGACACCGGGTTAGAACGCACAGTGATCTCCGCCTACCATATGCAGTGTATGTGTGACGAGCTTGGGTCTCCAAGCGCACTCATAAACATACGCTGTGTCTGTTTGCAGCGATAGGCATCTCTGGAGCAAGTGCCAAAGAGAAAATGACCTTTGACCTTTTAATAACGATAATTGGTAGGCAAACACCGACCCGAATTTATAGTGAATATTAATTATAACTTAATAAATAAATAATAATTATAATATTAATAAGATAATATTTATTATATAGACCGAAGTATCATTTGACATGCTGTTTGCGAGATGAACTGAAAGGTAAGGCAAATAAAAGGTATCTACAACCCCACGGACAAACATATCACACATACATATGTACGTACACACACACACACACACAACACACACATATATGCACATCATTTACACACACACACACACACACACACACACACACAGCTACACACACGTGAATAAAGCCAATGATGATGAAAAAGAAAATTGTATCTGGAAAAAAGTATGTATGACTGAGTTTGGAGGAACTTGTACTGTCTCCGAATGGTGAAACATAACCAGCCATAACCAATTGAAAATGAAAAAAGCCAAGGATTTAAGTTATCTATAAATAATATTACTTAAACTGGGCAAGTAGGGCAGTTTTTATTTGAATTTTGATTTAGAAAATTATTATGGTCAGCATAAAATTTTTTCAATTTTTAAAATTCTACTTCACTAAATTCCTATAATTTGGATGTTTGTTAGATAATACTTGTAGCTGCAGTAGTAATAGTAACGTAGTAGTAGTAGTAGTAGTAGTAGTAGTAGTAGACGTAGTAGTAGTAGTAGTAGTAGCAGATAAAAAAATTGCCAAAAAAATAAAATATTGTCATCGCGTGCAGCAGGCGTGTGTTAACAGTATTTGAATGATAGTATACAAAATCAAGGTCGTCATCAGCTTCATAATTACCTTTTCGGTCCGTTATCACAGTCCGTTAACCCTTTGATGACTGGATTGACTGGATTGTGCAGCTCCAAGTATCTGCGGAAGACTTCCTGGTCGTTTGAGTCTACGAAGGGAGAAATTTATTTGTTTGGTTTTGTTTCGTTTGTCTGTATTTTTAATATCCTAATTGTAGTGATAGAAAGAGCAGCAGTGGCAGCACTGAGCAATAATTTAATAGTACTACTACATGTTGTAAAATAATAATTGACCGGAACCGAAACAAAAACTGAAAAGAAGTTCCAGCTACCAAATTCCAAGATCCTGGTGTCATTTCCTTTGAACATGGTGTATCCGTCCCCGCCTGCCAGTAAATATTTCAAACTAACAATGCGGTAGTAGGTGGCATTCAGTTGAATGTTTTCGTATTCCGAACCCTCGTAGCCTTTTCTGACCTGTCGGTGAGAAAATAACGAAAAAATTATGAAGATAAATATAAACTATGTAAAATTATGTTCATAAATATAATAATCATTATGTGAATTATTATAACTGACTCTTTTGATGATGAGTTGTCAGAAATTAAAATACAAGTTATTTTGACAAATCTACCGTACCCTAGCACTGTAGATGAACGTGTTGTTTTCGTTCTCAGCATTGTAAACGACTTTCAAGCCTGAAGGGAAATGAAATAATTAATCAATAAATATAAGAAAAATAAAAAATATTAATAATCAGTTTAGTTATTAGTATTAGATAACTTACTTCACCATCCAACCATCCAACAACAACCGAACCAACGAACCAGCCAACTAGCCAACCAACAAGAAACTTGTAAAAATTTTCCGTGTTTTTCTTTGTTAGGACTGAAATTAGAAATGGAATGACGCAAAGCCTCGTAAAGCGTCCTGCCGGAAGTTTCGGCCACCATTATGACGTCACCGTAGGGAAACGCCGAGATGACTTCATTGTAGTTTATGTCACCTGAATTATTGTCGTGGTTTAGGGATGTGCTGATATGTTCTTATCATCATAATGTGATTTCTGTTTACGTACCTCGATCTATACTGCTCCGAATGCCTCCACCATTCGTTAATGCGATGGTTGCGTTTGCGTTTCGTTCTTTGAAAAAACTCACCATGGCGTCAGTGAACAAGTTACCTGCATGTGTGTGTGTGTGTGTGTGTGTGAGTGTGTGTTTGTGCGTGTGTGTACGTGTGCTTGTGAGAGAATTTATTTATCTATTCATTCTTAAATTTAAACAATCATTTAATCATTCGTTTCTTCAATCAATCCAATTTAGTTTATGATTTGGTTTGAGCATCTATTCATTTTTTTATCGATTCATTCACTCTTTCATTCATTCACTCAATTCAGCCACCTAAAGTGCATTCCTGCTGGCAGCAGATCTTGTCATTGGCATCGAGGAAGACGTCAGTGCGGCAAAGCACCTTGGTGTACATGAAGGAGAGGTTGCTATTCAAGTATTCTATCTACTTCGCTATTTCCGGGTCTGGTGATGATGGTGATGCTGATGATGATACTGATGATGATGATAATGACGACGATGAGGATGACGTTGGTGATAAAATTTCTAAGGATAAAAATCGAATAAAGACGGAGCTGGTTGTTAACACAAAATAATACAAACGAATCAATATCACAGCAAAACTGATTCTAAGAAACACGCCACACACAAACACTCACATTCACATCCAAACTCTTACACACGCACAACACGCACACAGACACACACACACACACACGCACAACACACACACAGGCACACACACACACGCACAACACGCACACACACGCGCGCACAACACACACACACACACGCACAGACACAGACACACACTTTCAGGGATACTAAGATTCACACTCACACATCGTGGGCGGCGTGATGGCTCAAAGGTTAAAAGCGCCTGGTCTTGCTGCTGCAGTGACTGGGTTCGAATACAAAGAGATCCATGCCTATCATATGCAATGTGTTTGATGCGTGGTTTTCACGTGTATTCATATACGCTGTGTGTGTTTGTCGTTAAAATGTCTGAAGCAAGCTCAAGAAAGAGAGAGAGAGAGAGAGAAAGAGAGTTACCTTTAACCTTTAACCTTAAACATACCTTCAGGGATACTCAAATTCATGAGAACGGGATTCCCACTCCAACTTTTGACGTTTCCCTCTTCATCGAATGCGACATTCAGGACTCCCACCCACTTGCCAGCTGTCCCGGCTTGCACGATCAACGTGCGCCTACCATCCGCGTGCCTCACGACCGTCGGGTAGTCGCCTTCCACACCTTTCACTCCACTCGCTGGCTCTATATTTCAGAAATGACATAATTACGGCTTGCCAGGAGTTGCAGCCAAGTTGGTTAACATTTTTAAAACAATCTAATTAAAAAAGACAAAAACATGAATTCAAAATTAAATTTAATTAAAACTATTTTGACCGTCATAATTTTCTGAGTCGAAGGAACTAATTTTTATATCATTAAAACTTATTGACCAGCAGACGAACCGTGATAGAGCAGCGTGTGGCTGTGACCTCCGACGATGATGTCGATATCAGGGATCTCCCTGGGCATCCTCTTATCGGCCTCGTAGCCCGCGTGACCCAGGGCTATGATGAACTTGCTGCCCTTCCTTACGAGGTCAGTCACTACTTCCTTGACCTTCTCAAGCTCGTTTGAGAATTTCAGGTCCCCTACCATGGTGGTGGTGATGATGATGATGTGGAGAACGTGCGTGATGGTACCGACGATGAAAAACACACAGACGCACAAATACACACACATGCACACAGTCACACCTTTATACATACTAATATACACACTATATACAATTACACATACAAACAAACAGACCATTAAACAGGCATTTACCCGTTTTAGAGAGCTGAACGACTGTCTCAGTGATGTAACCGACAACATCAAATTTGTGGTTCTTGTATGTGATTTCAACATGTTCCTTCACTTTTTTCATAAAATCTGGGGTCTAAATTTGTGTGTGTATATATATATATATATATATATATGTCTGTGTGTGTGTATGTATGTATGTGGGTGTGTGTGTATGTGTATTTATTTATGTATGTGTGTGTGTGTATCAGTGTATATATGTATGTATTCAATTCAAAAATTTTTTATTCTGTAAAATACATTAGCAGAGAGACCCGATGTTTTCACTTGTTGGGCCACCCTATCAAGATATAGCAAGCAAGAGCATGAAGAAAAGGAAAACTTGATGTAATCAGCCTGACGAAGCGCATATTTGACAGAACGAATAATAAAAAAAATCAATTAACAGAAACAAAATCCTAATTCACTAAACCAAATTATCTATCAATCCACTTAGTAAACCAAATCACTAAGATATGGACCGCCTTGGCCAAGATTAATAGGAATATGTAATAACAAACTTGAGTAATACGTTTAAATCATAAAATTAATAAATAGATTGAGAGAGATGTATGTATGTTTGTATGTATGTATGTTTTTTTTGTATGTTTGTATATATGTTTGTTTGTATGTATGTATATATGTATGTTTGTATGTGTGTTTGTTTGTTTGTTTGTATGTATGTATGTAGGTGTGAATTACCGTTGTCTGATCAAGATTCGAACAGAGGATTGGAACAGTAACATTGCCGAGAAAAATTCTCAATCCTTCAACACCGTTGTCAAACTCATGGTTGCCTAAGGCCTTGATAACGATCATCATCACCACTCTCATTCATCATCGTCGTCGTCGTAACTCATTCATTCACTCACTCACTCACTCACTCACTCACCATAGCCTGGTATTTCAATTTGTTTAAGAAGTGACTAGAATCATGACCCTTGTAGAAGTAAAACCACGGAGTACCTGAACAACAACAACAAAAACAACAATAACAATAATAAAAATAATGACGTCATCATGACGTCACCTTGAAATTGGTCGCCGGCGTCAAGCAGCATAATCTCGCCCAGTTCTTTTTTCATCATGTTAATGAAGCCGGCTCTTCTCGCTACTCCGCCGAAACAACTACGATGATGTGATGATGAAGAAGAAGATGATGATGGTTATGAATCACGAATGCACCATTCCATTCATTCAGCAATCCACTACAAACTTTTCTGGCTCTCCCGGTTTGCATTTCGTGCTCCTTCTAGTAAATGGTTCAAATCTCGAGTGGATATCATTCGTGTGTAGCAAGTGCAAAGTAAAACTATCCCCCCCACCACTACCGCTACTACTATTGGTGGCAACTGTCACTGAGATTAGATCGATGTTTAGCATTTGACTGATACTAATTATGACTAGAAAGGTGCTGTAGTGAACCATCTTCGTCGTCGTTGTTGTTGTTGATGGGGCTGATGGTGTTGAAGTTTTTCTAATTTGAATTTTGAATTTGGATAGTTAGTTTTTTTCGTCGCAACTCTGTGCAATAATTAGAATTGTCGAAAACAAACTTAGTGATTCTTTTCTATCATGATGGTGATGGTGATGATAGTTATGCAAATAATGATGATGACGATGATGATGATGATGATGTCAATTTGTTTATGCAAATGATGAATAAATGCAAGAACGTGATTTTTCGCTAAAACAATATGCAAATTAATATAATGGAATAATAAAATATGCAAATTATTATAATGAAATAATAAAATATGCGAATTAATATAATGGAATAATAAAATATGCTAATTAATATAATAAAATAATAGAATATGCAAATTAATATAATGAAACAATAGAATATGCAAATTAATATAATGAAATAATAAAATTATTTGCCACGTAAATTAGGAAATAAATTATGAAGTTATTCAGGCCAGGAACTAGGGGGCAAAGGGGGCAAGCCAACCGGGCGGCAAATGTCAGGGGGGGTCAAATTTCAGGGCTAGTCGATTTTGAAAGTTTGCACTTTTTCATGCTGCATAACCGTATTATTATTGTTTTTTTTCTATGTGTTGTTAACATGTACATTGATATTTCCATTTTTAAAACATTTCAATTAGTATGTAATTATTTAAAAAAACTGAATCTAAACAACAGCTGACGGAAATAGCATAATAAATCGTGGGAGGCTGCACACTGGACTTTGCACCCCCCTCCCCTGGTGGCAAATACGCTAGTTCCGGCCCTGAATTATATTTCGACCCACGATTGTGTGATGGGTTGAAGGGGCCCCAGCACATCACATGCAATGTGTCTGACGCCTGCGTTATACCGTAAAATCATCAATTATTATACTAGCAGTAGTAGTATAAGTAGCAGCAGCAAGAGCAGTAGCTGCAATAGCAACAGCAGCAGTTGTAGCAACACTAGTAGCTTTAGTAGTAATAAAAACAATGAAAACGGTGTATTGGAATGGCTCGCTATTTTTATCACTAATAAGGTGATTTATGGTGAAATGAGTGGGTGAGGATCGAACCAACACGCACTCAAACAAACTAAAGCATCCTTCAATGTGTTTGGATGGGGGAATAATCAAACGAATAAAAAAATGAATAAATGGACTGACGAACTAATGGATGAATGAATGATGAACAAATGAACAAGCGAACAAAAAATGAACGAACAAACAAACGAATGAATGAACGAACGAACGAACAACTAAATTATGAGATCAAAACTTGAACAATCGAAACGAAAAATGAAATTGAAAAATGATAAAGAACCCACCAGTAACACAACAGTGGCAGAGAACTTTTTCTAAACCTTCCTTCAACTACACCACAACAAAATTTAAGCGAACACAAATCTTTTGAAAATTTATAAAGCTTTTATTTTAGTTAACAAAAACATGAGCTTATATAGGTAGCAACTGCCACTACTATATCAATCTCAATCTCTCTCTCTCTTTCTCTCTCTCTCTATATATATATATACAGGCGAGTTTAAATAGTTAACAGTTGAGCTCGAGGCACGTAAGGCTTCCGAGTGGCTTAGCATGTTACTTGGCTCGTCGATATAACCCACATGGTGACATGTTTATATGTGAGTTGTCTGGCAAGCCAACACAATTTTTCGGTATAAAAGACGGTGATTACAAGGCGAGGTTTGTTCAGCAAGAGACAAACAATTCTCTGATCTCTGGATGTGGCCCTGTTTCTCGAGAGTGTCAGAAAGTTGAAGGGATGAGATACTCGTTGACCAAGAAAATAGACAGGTAGACAGAAAGATAATTTGTTTTATTAAAATTTCTAACAAACAACTTACAAATACAAATGGTTTTTTGAATAAACGATTAATTTTTCTTTTCAAACTTCAACCAAAAATAGTGAATAAATATATGTTAATTTAAATTTTGAATTAAATCGTTTTCAAATTTTTGATTATTCTATTAACTAATTTTATAATTAACGATTTGAGTAATCATCAAAAACTTCAACCAAAATAATTAATAAATAATTAAGTTTCAAGTAAATTTCATTTTTAAACACAATCGTCTTCAAATTAATTGATAAATTAATTAATTAATTAACTTAATAGTCTTGTTCAAACGTATGTTTTAACCCATTTAAATCCATTGTAATTCCATTTACCCTTTTTACCTTTTTGCTGTTTCTCATAACTTTCCCGGTCTTTCGAGTGAGCGAAAAAATTATAAAAAAATAAAATATTAAATGGTTAAAGGCCATCTTGGTCTTGCAGTTGCCGCAGTAAAACCGGGTTCGAAAGCACATTGATCCCTGTCTGTTATATCAATCAATCAAGTTTATAAGCTGAACCAATCACGAGTTGTTGAATGTATTATAAAAAAGTTGATTAAGGAAAAATTGGCAAATATATATATATATATATATAATATATATATTTATCACAAACACATATTTATGTATATAAAACAGACACACGTGAATATAGCCAATGATGATGAAAAAAAAAAGATTGTAGCTTGAAAAAAGTATGACATGACTGAAGTTTCGAGGAACTTGTACTGTCTCCGAATGATGAAACATAACCAGCCATAACCAAATGAAAATGAAATAAGCCCCAGATTTGGATTTCTATAACTATTGTTACTCAGTCAAGGCGAGCAGATCAGCTGTTGTTAGAATTTTTTTAATGAAAAAAATAATAACGATCAACATGAAAATTTTTTAAATTCCAATTCTCCAAATTTCTATAAATTGGGTGTTATATTATGTGTGGTGCTAGTAGTAATAGCAGTAGTAATATTAGTAGTGGTGTAGTAGTAGTAGTGATAGTAGTAGTAATAATAGTAGTAGTAGTAGCAGCAGCAGCAGCAGTAGTAGTAGCGTTTGTTATAAAAGAAATTACTAATGTAGTATTCGTTTTGTCATTAGCTTTTTTTATAATTGTTATAAATATCTGGAAAAAGAACGTAAAAACAAAGAAATGATTAGCCCGCCATGCATCTAATACATCGTTACAAAATCCAATACTTAGACATAAGACAAACAAAATCCGCCGAAAAACAACAAACTTAAAAATCTCTCAACAGCCTAAAAACAAAATTAAAAAATAAGACGCTGGTAGTCATCGCATGCCCTAGGCTTGTGTTAACTGTATTGGAATGATTGTATACATAACTAGGGTCGTCATCAGTTTCAGGATCACCTTGAGGATTTAGTATCATAGTGATGCGTCCTTCGATAACTGGTTTGACTGGATTGTGCAGCTCCAAGTATCTGCGGAAGACTTCCTGGTCGTTTGAGTCTACGAAGGGAGAAATTTGTTTGTTTGGTTTTGTTTGTCTTAACTACTACATGTTGTAAAATTAATTGACCGAAACCGAAACTGAAAAGAAGTTCCAGCTACCAAATTCCAAGATCCTGGTGTCATTTCCTTTGAACATGGTGTATCCGTCCCCGCCTGCCAGTAAAAATTTTCCAGTAATAATGCGGTAGGTAGCATTCGGGCGAATGTCTTCGTAATCCGGACTATCGTAGCCTTTTCTGACCTGTCGGTGAGAAAATTATGAAGATAAATATAAATTATGGAAAATTATGGCCATAAATATAATAATTATGTTGTGAATTATTATAACTGATTGTTATAAATAAAAATAAAAATATCATTATTTTGACAAATCTACCGTACCTTAGCGCTTACGACGAACGTGTTGTTTTCGTTCTCAGCATTGTAAACGACTTTCAAGCCTGAAGGGAAATGAAATAATTAATCAATAAATATAAGAAAAATAAAAAATATTAATAATCAGTTAAATATTTATTATTTTATAACATAGTTAACCAATCAACCAGCCTATTCTCAAATCAACTAACCAGCCAACCAACCAACCAACCAGAAACTTGTAAAAATTTTCCGTGTTTTTCTTTGTTAGGATTGAAATCAGAAATGGAATAACGTAGAGCCTCCAACAGCGCCCTGCCGGAAGTTTCGGCCACCATTATGACATCAGTGAAGGGAAACGTCGTAATGACGTCAGTGTAGGTTATGTCACCTGAATTGTAGTCGTGGGTTTAGGGATGTGCTGATAAGATTTTATTATTACAACAACCTGGATTTGAGAGTAGTTGCATTTTAGCAATAAGGCTATATAAATTCGATTGATTGCTATGGCTGGTTTGTTGGAGGATTGATTGACTGCTCTGGTTGGTTTGTTGGAGGATTGATTGACTGCTCTGGTTGGTTTGTTGGTTGATTGATTGATTGCTTTGGTTGGTTTGTTGGTTGATTGATTGATTGCTCTGGTTGGTTTGTTAGAGGATTGATTGACAGCTTTGGTTGATTGATTGATTGATTGACTGCTCTGGTTGGTTGATTGATTGACTGCTCTGGTTGGTATGTTGTTTGATTGATTTGGTTGTTTCGGTTGTTGCTTACCTACCTCGTTCCATACTACCGCGCAAGCCTCCACCGTTAATGAATGCGATGGTTGCGTTGGCATTACGCTCTTTGAAAAAACTCACCATGGCGTCAGTGAACAGGTTACCTGCGTGTGTGTGTGTGTGCGTGTGTGTGAAAAATTATTTATCCGATCATTCATTTACTTATCCATTCATTTAATTATCCGTTTGTTCGATCAATCTGCCTAAATAACTGACAAGATTTGAGTGTCCATTCATTTACTTATTTATTCGCTCATTCACTCATTCATTCACTCATTCATTCACTCATTCATTCACTCATTCATTCACTCTTTCATTCACTCATTCATGCATGCGTCAATCCAGCCACCTATGTTGCATTCCTGGCTCCGACAGATCTTATCGTTGGCATCGAGGAAGACGTCAGTGCGGCCGAGCACCTTCTTGAACATGGACGATAGGTTGCCGTTCAAATATTCTATCTGGGCTGCTATTGCCGGGTCTGGAGGTGGTTGAGGGGGTGATGAAGATTCACACACACACACATCAACACACACACACACCTTCAGGGATACTCAAATTCATGAGAACGGGATTCCCACTCCAACTTTTGACGTTTCCCTCTTCATCGAATGCGACATTCAGGACTCCCACCCACTTGCCAGCTGTCCCGGCTTGCACGATCAACGTGCGCCTACCATCCGCGTGCCTCACGACCGTCGGGTAGTCGCCTTCCACACCTTTCACTCCACTCGCTGGCTCTATATTTCAGAAATGACATAATTACGGCTTGCCAGGAGTTGCAGCCAAGTTGGTTAACATTTTTAAAACAATCTAATTAAAAAAGACAAAAACATGAATTCAAAATTAAATTTAATTAAAACTATTTTGACCGTCATAATTTTCTGAGTCGAAGGAACTAATTTTTATATCATTAAAACTTATTGACCAGCAGACGAACCGTGATAGAGCAGCGTGTGGCTGTGACCTCCGACGATGATGTCGATATCAGGGATCTCCCTGGCCATCCTCTTATCGGCCTCGTAGCCCGCGTGACCCAGGGCTATGATGAACTTGCTGCCCTTCCTTACGAGGTCAGTCACTACTTCCTTGACCTTCTCAAGCTCGTTTGAGAATTTCAGGTCCTCTACCATGGTGGTGGTGATGATGATGTGGAAAACGTGCGTGATGATAACGACGATGACAAACACACAGACGTACAAGTAAACACGGGCGCACACAATAACACATACATACGTACTAATATACACACGTGTTCAAGCAATCAATATATGACCAATCGCTGATAATTTCAAGGTCTGGTAAACCAAAACAATTGTGGAAGATTTTTACGTCATTACAACAATCACAGATCAAGAGCTCTTTACACACCTAAAATCAAATTCCGAACCGAGCTGATGGGATTGTTATCAGACAGACAGGTATCAAGTTTCTAGCAGTCGATCTTAGTTGTCATCTATACGCTCATGATATTCAACTTCACGGGTTTGGACTACCTGGCTAACCACTTCTCTGCTGACAAACATCCAGTAAGGAATCCTGGTGTTGTACTACTGGATCCTCACTCATCTTTCATTTGAAATACATATTAGTTAAGCCTGCCAGCGATGCTTCTAACAACTCCTCAGAACTAGATACAGATACAAACACAGATGTGAACATGGAATTACACATAGATACCCACATACACAAACATACAATTACACATGCACACATACAAACAAGCAGACCATTAAACATGCAAATACCTGTTTTAGACAGTTCAACGACAGTGTCCGTAATGTAACCAACAACGTCGAATTTGTGGTTCTTGTAGGTAATCTCAATACGTTCGTTCACTTTTTTCATAAAATCTGGGGCCTAAAAATGTGTGTGTATATGTATGTATGTGTGTATGTATGCGTGTATGTATGTATGTATGTATGTATGTATGTATGTATGTGTTTGTATGTTTGTTTGTTTGTATTTTTGTTTGTTGTGAATTACCGTTGTGAGATCAAGATTCGAACAGAGGATTGGAACAGTAACATTGCCGAGAAACATTCTCAATCCTTCAACACCGTTGTCAAACTCATGGTTGCCTAAGGCCTTGATAACGATCATCATCACCACTCTCATTCATCATCGTCGTCGTCGTAACTCATTCATTCACTCACTCACTCACTCACCATAGCCTGGTATTTCAATTCGTTTAAGAAGTGACTAGAATCATGACCCTTGTAGAAGTAAAACCACGGAGTACCTGAACAACAACAACAAAAACAACAATAACAATAATAAAAATAATGACGTCATCATGACGTCACCTTGAAATTGGTCGCCGGCGTCAAGCAGCATAATCTCGCCCAGTTCTTTTTTCATCATGTTAATGAAGCCGGCTCTTCTCGCTACTCCGCCGAAACAACTACGATGATGATGATGATGTGATGATGAAGAAGATGATGATGATGGTGAAGAAGAAGATGATGATGGTGACGAAGAAGATGATGATGGTGAAGAAGAAGATGATGATGGTGAAGAAGAAGATGATGATGGTGATGATTACAATGATGATGGTGATGAAGACGAAGAAGATTGTGATGACGACGACGATGAAATAAACGAAGAGAGTAAATAAAAAAACCGGCGATGAAATTATTAATGATTGAAACGAGCAAACATGGCAAAAAATTAGTTAACTAGATCGGTGCCTGGGTTAAATTTACCAATTCTTTCACCCATTCATTCATTCATTCATTCATTCATTCGTTCGTTCGTTCGTTCATTCATTCATTCATTCATTCATTCATTCATTGAATTCATTCAACAATTCATTACAAACTTATCTAGCTCCTCCGGATTGCATTTCGTGTTCCTACTTGTAAATGGTTCAAACCTCGAGTGAACATCATTCGTGTGTAGCAAGTGCAAAGTAAAACTATCCCCATCACCACTACCGCTACCACTATTGGAGGCAACTGCCACTGAGATTAGATCGATGTTTAGCATTTGACTGATACCAATTATGACTAGAAAGGTGCTGTAATGAACCTTCTTCATAGTCGTCATCATCGCGTTGTTGTTGTTGTTAATGGGGATGATGAAGTTTTTCTAATTTGAACTTTCAATTTGGATGGTTAGCTTTTTTTTGTCACAACTCTGTGCAATAATTAGAATTTTCGGAGACAAACTTAATGATTCTTTTCTATCATGATGGTGATGGCTTTTGTGACTGGCTGGCTCACCACATGCAACGTGTTTGACGCGTACATTATTTCGCTAAGTTAATAATTATATTAGTGGCAGCAGTAGTAGCAGCAGTAGCAGCAGTAATAGTAGCAGCAGTAGCAGCAGTAATCAAAACAGAAGAAACGATGTAGTTGAATGGCTTGCTATTTTTAATAAGCTAATTTATTTACTCGTGCGCAGGTCAAAACAACAACATCAAATAAAAATAATAAAAATAATAATAAAAATAATAATAATAAATAATAATAATAATTTCTACTACTACTACAACTAATAAGAATGAGGATGAAGAAGCAGACCAGAGCAAAGTGCGTCACTCGAGCTTATGTATGTACGTACACATGCGTGAATGAGTGAGTGAATGAATGAGTGAATGAATGATTGAATAAATGAATGAGTGCATGAATGAATGAGCAAATGAACAAGCAAGCAAAGAAACAAAAAAACGGTTTACCAACAAGCTAACGAACGAACGAATGAACGAATGAATGAATGAATGAATGAATGAATGAATGAATGAATGAATGAATGAATGAATGAATGAATGAATGAACAAACAATTGAATGAATGAATGAAAAAAAGAAAGAAATATTGACTTAATTAATTGTTTCATCACAGAATGGAAGATCTAATTACATTGGTGGTTGGTGAATTAATGGAACTAAACGAATATGTTACGAATAGATAATTGAAAATTAAAAATAAAATAAAGAGAGAGATAGGGAGAGGGAGAGAAGGAATGGCTGAAACGAAGAAATAAGAGAGAAAAAGAAAGATAGAGAGAGATAAAGTAAATTCAACTACTTTCAAAAAAATGTGTTATTCCATAAACAAAAAAGTATGCAGCGTTTTCGTGATAACAATGGCTGAAAAGATACATACACACACACGCACACACACACACACACACGCGCAAACACACACACGCGCGCGCACGCACGCAAAATATGATACTTGATGCAAAAGTTGCCACTGATAACCGGAAAAATATTGTATTTAATTGTTTATTTAATTTTCTCTTTGATAACTTGCAATCCTTAATTGAAGACAGAGTTTTGTTACAGCGTTTTTTTAAATACTACTATTACTACTTCTTCTAACTACTACTACTAATACTACTACAATAACAACTACTACTACTACAACCACTACTATTACTACTACTACTGCTATTACAACTATTACTACTACTACTACTACTACCACTACTACCACTAACAACAACTACTACTACTACTACACATACATACACACACACAGACACACACGCACACACACACACACACATACATACTTATTACATAATGTGAATGTTTTTCTACAATTAAGAACGAGTATTATGCAATGTGTGTTTTCAATTAAAGGTAAAAACGGTGCGAAAAGTAGAAAAAGAAGTTACGAAAAATTTCGCGCTAGACAATTTTTCACAAAAATTACAAAAAAAATGATTATTATTTACCAAAAATTATTGGTAAATTGTGTTTAAATTGAATGGTGTTAATTTGTTCTTTACCTGATAGCATTTGCGCCTGATGGTCTGATAAATTAATTTCCAATTAGAATTAAATGGATGGATGAATGAATGTCCGAATGAATGAATGAATAAATGAGTGAATGAGTGAATGAATAAATGAGTGAATGAATAAATGAGTGAATGAATAAATGAATGAATGAGTGAATGAATAAATGAGTGAATGAGTAGATGAAAAAAATGAACGATCAATGAAACGCACAATTAAATAGCTGAACGACTAAAGCATCATTTAATTTATTTAAACAAATAAATAACCGTGCGAATAAAGGAATGAATTAATCGATGGAGTGAACAAACAAACGTATGAACGAACGAACAAACTTAAACAATCGGAACGCAAAATAAAATAACCAAAAAACAGACAAATAACCTACCAGTAGAACAAATGTGGCGAAGAACTTTTCCTAAATCTTTCTCGTTCTCTCAGACTTCATCCACTCTGCATAGGAAACAAAATTATTTTAGCTCAACATCAGTTGTGAAGTAGGACGGTATCTTTTGAAAAACAGTAAGTTTTGTATTAAGTTTGTATATATACATATATTTGTGTGTGTGTACAAATATTATTATAAGAAACGTATAAAAACTAATATTACGCCTGTATGTTTATATCATTATGTAGAAGAGATGGAATTTTTTAAAAAAGTTATTTCAAATTTCAGAGAAATAAATTTACAAAGAAATGTCAAAAGTTTCATTGTGAAAGGGGATGCCAGACTCCAAAGGCCCTTGCTCTTCTAAGCCACACACCTAACACATATCTATGCATCTATGCATATACCTTTTTAAATTATTTAGACCATTTTGGAAGAATTTACTTACAACCAAGCAGAAAATTGTTTTCGACAAATGAACGAACGTACGAACGAACGAACGAACGACTGTAAGAACGGATGAATGAATGAACGAATGAATGAAAAAAAAATGTATGTAGTTTCACTTCGGCTTTTCATTTACCATCATTATAAGATTATTTTTCTGATGTTCTAGCTAGGAGAGAATCCATTAAACTTGAAAACTTATCATCATTATTAAACCTAACACTCATGTGATATGAAAACATTATAAAAAAAATCTATCAGAAATATATAATAATATTTATAAAAATAATTACATTAATAGTTTAAATAACAATACTACAACTGTAATAATACAGAAATACCAATACAACAAAATACCTTGCGAGCGAACAGACAAATTTGACAGTTCAATGTTAACTAAATCATGTGGTCCTTGCAATTTCAATAGCTTTTTAAACTAAGCACTTAGATATACACATACATACCTACATACATACATATACATACATACATATACATACCTACATACATACATATACATACATACATACATACATACATACATACATACATACATACATACATACATACATACATACATACATACATACATACATACATACATACATACATACATACATACATACATACATACATACATACATACATACATACATACATACATACATACATACATACATACATACATACATACATACATACATACATACATACATACATACATACATACATACATACATACATACATACATACATACATACATACATACATACATACATACATACATACATACATACATACATACATACATACATACATACATACATACATACATACATACATACATACATACATACATACATACATACATACATACATACATAATCCGGATGTAATTATAAAGAAAGTTATATCCGTATAATTTTAACATTCAAATTTTCACAAAAACTTATATATGAAAAAAATAATAATAACAAAATATTATTTTAATATATGTAATAACAACAACTGCAACAACAATAATAATAACAATAATATTCATAATGATAAAAATTATTATTGTTATTATTATTATTGTGATGATTGAATAGTTTCCACACCATAGTCTCAATTGCCCATTTGCTTTTTATTATTTTTAGTAATAAAATAATTATATAATTATAATAATTTAATTATAATAATTGATTAATTTAATTTAATAATAATATTATTATATAATTATATAATAATTATATATATATATATAATATATTATTATATATTATATTATATATTTATTATTTATTATAATAATTATATTATGTATATAATTATATATATCTTTGAAAATGACAGTTACTATTATCGTTATTATTATTAACATTATTAACATAATTATCGCCATATAGTTAAAAATATGTACTCAAACTGTGAATGAACCGAATGAATTGATGAATGAATAGATGAATGAATGAATGAATGAATGGATGGATGAATTAATGAATGATTGAATGAATGAATGAGTGAAACTGTTTGTGCATTTTGATGTATTGTGTTATTACATACAACAGATTCTATTAATTTTATGTTTCTCCCATTGAATTACTATCGATCGATAAAAATGAACATTTTTTCAACATTTTTAAACAAAAGTAATAATTTTTTAGAAATCATTTTTATTATTTGTTATAAAAACGAACTTTATATTTAGATATTTTCATGTAAATCCATAAAATTTACGTTTTAATGTAATAGATTTTTGTATTTTAATTTTTAATATTTATATTATTACAGTATTTTTACTATTATGCCAGGTATGGTGGCTGTCATGTTCTACCGTTGAAATTTATTTAAATGAAATATTACGCACATCACTATTTAAAGGGGTACGTAATAAAATGAAACTTAGGTAACTGCGTAACAGAAATTTTCAAATGAACCTAATCATTTTGATCATGAGACTGATGCAATCCTAAAATTAGTAAAAATAGTGAAATTTCGAATTAAATTTTTTTAAATTTTTGTCCCAATTCCGAGTATTTCTATTAAAAATGATGAAATATGTTTTTTTCGTTTGCTTCCTAGCCACAATTCTTGCTTGCGGTAAAAAAATCAGTTATAAAAAACATTCCCTGAATTATAGCATTCATCCTTTTTGATTTAAATTCACTTTATTTTATTTATTTCTCTAATTTTATTACTCAAAAAGTTAATTTTATTACAGTTTCAGGCCATAAAAAAGTCCTTTTGAAAGACGTCCAAGTTGTGACACTACGTAACAAGGAGTACACAACTGGCAGAAGAAATAAGCCCATTCCTCAGGTATTAATTAGTTATTAAAAAATGAATAAACAAGTAAAGTTATTAGGTTATCTTGAACTTCAGGTCGTTAAATTCCTCCCACTTTTATATCTTCATTTGATTTATGTTAAAAATTATATATATATATTATAATATATATTTATTGAGTTATTGAATTAAGGGTAGTAAATTATTATTTATTTATTTATTTATTTATTATTAAGCATAATTTATAAATGAAATAATTTATATTCTCTCAGCTACACTGCTTAGGAGGATTTTCAGGCTGTGAGACGGTGACTCTTGATACAGTCCAATGCTATAACAGAGGATTTGATGGCAATGACTATAATGTAAACTTAATAAAATTATAATTAATTATTTATTTTAATTAATTATATCCAATAATTAATCTCCTGGTGACTTTTTATTGCAAAATTTGTTTTATTCTTCGTAGTGGGAATGCAAGGCAGACATGCCTAAGCATTTTAAGTTTGGCAAAATGGAGGTCACATGTGAAGGTTATGATTACCCCGATGATCCTTACATTCTTGCTGGGTCCTGTGGGGTAAGTTTATTAGGGATGATGTCATAATGAATTAGGGATATGTGATTAATTCAAGTGATAAACATTTTATACTTTTTTTCTTCGTGTAGCTACGTTATGAGTTGATTGATTTGAGTGACAAGAGTGGTCTATTTTCACCCCCACCCGATGCTTACGAGAAAAAATATTCTTCCCCAACCAGTGACTACAAGAACAGGCATTACACCGAAAAAACGTTATTAAACTGTGTCAAATTGTTGAAAACTTTTGTATGAAGTGTTCAGTTAGATAAAATTTTGGCTGCAAAAATGTGTCCAACTAATTTTATTTATTTTTTTTTCCAGGAAAGCAAAAGATTCCTCTTCAGAAACATCACCACTTTTCATTTTTTGTATTTTTGTCGGAATCATTGTGGTTGTTCTGTGGTACTCGAAATCCAGACAACAAGCGCCAACTTCACAGGCGTCGGACCCCCCTGCACCCCCTCCTTACGGCTTCAGGGCTTCTCCACCCCCATATGATGATCACGTGGGCAGCCAACAACCACCCCCACCTGGATTTAATACCGGTTTCTCTCCTCCACCGTTCCAATCGCCACCTTCTTACGGGTTCAAAACGAACGCGGGTATAAAAAAGTTACAATGACATTCATTGAATTCCGCTACATTAGTTTATTTGACCGAATTATTGCTTGCTAATGCGGCCTTGTGTGTTGTTTTACGATATGCGATTCGTTATTTTTATAAATGGTTTATTTTGACAGATCAGCAGCAACAGCAGCAGCAACAACAACAGCCGCGACAACAATCAAGCCGAATTGGAGGATTCTGGACAGGAGCAAGTCTCGGAGGTCTGGCTGGTTATTTGTTTGGTTCGAGGAGGAACAGTAATAACTACGGAGGACGTGATTATTACGATTCTGGATCGTCATATTTTGGAGGATCCAGGTACAGAAATGTCGGAAGCAGAGGTGATGGATGGTTTGGCAGTGGTAGTAGCGGCTGGGGTTCAGCGGCTGGTAGCACCACTACTACTACTACATCAAGTGCTCCTAACACTGAAACAAGATCTGGTAACTGTGTAGTGTATTGCATTCTCTCTGTGTCTGTCTCTTTTTCATTGCCTTGTTTAACTTATTGGCTGTTTGGAGGATGTGCTTTGTTGAAATTTGAGTTTGATAGTGCTTTTCTAATATTATTTTTTGTTAGTAAAAATAATTATCATTAATTTGATTGCAATTTTCAAGGTTTTGCTGAAACTAAGAGAAGATAGAAGACATCACAGTGTATTGAAAAATCTGCTAAGCCTCTATCTCGTTTCTTAAATGTTTATTTTGTTGAGATTTATTTAAAATTAATTGATCATAAATTTATTGTTTGTTTGTTTTATGTAGTGTTTAATTTTTACGTTTTAGTTTCATAAGGTTTTATACATTTGATTCTAATTTAATTTTTATTCATTATTTAATCTAATTTATTTTTACGAAGCTTGTAAGTGGTTTTGTCTCGTTGTTTTATTGTTAATAAAAGTTGAAGAGGATGTCTGTAGCTTTTGTTATTGGGCCCTCAAAGTCATTCCGTACCGTTATTGATGAATTTCTTATAAAAAAAAAATTACGTTACACTGGTGGCTGTTTATCGGCCGTTAGACACACCAAGCGCTGTGCTCGCTGGTTCTACTTCCTCTTCATTGTTCCACTGGCTCCGATTTTTGGAAGACTTTCCATCAATAAAACAAAACAAAATGGGCGTTGATGTGCAAACTATCACTGCTGGGGACGGTCAGTTAGTTTTTAGTTTTAAAAGTTTGTTTTCCGGCTGAAAATGCTGGATATTTTGGTGTTTTATTGCCGTTCCGGTGTTGTCTAGTAAACTCTGGGTAGATAGGAAGTTTCGTTTTCAATTCAAATCAGTCAACCAGACGACACATTTATCAAAATAAACATATTTTGTTAGTATTTTACACTATGTTTATTTTTCCTTCCGATGACAGTTTTAAATTTTATTTTTGCAGGCAAAACCTTTCCTCAAAAAGGCCAGACTGTTATTGTTCATTATACTGGTGTGTTACTGCTGGCATTTTATTTTTTAGTGTAGAATTTTGACGAAAAAATTAGAAAGAGAGAGAGAGAGAGAGAGAGAGAGAGAGAGAGAGAGTAGATTAACAAATATTACTTTTTAAAAATTTTGTTTTCTTCAGGAACATTGGTTGATGGAAAGAAGTTTGATTCATCAAGAGATAGAGGCAGACCATTTGAGTTCCAAATTGGAGTTGGTCAAGTTATCAGGGGCAAGTTATAATTATAATTACTATTGTATAATTAATAATTTATTATCATAATGCTATAATAAATGATAAAAAAAATTTTATAATACAATTAAATAATATATATAGAAGTTATAGTTTGGTACAATATTGATGACAATCATGGTAAATCATTGTAATTACTAGTTAAACATTTATAGTAGCTATCCAAGTCTACATAATTATAGACTCTAATAAAATTTATTGTGGTATAAATAATTATACAAATTATGATACAAATATTAATATAGTTATTAATATATAATTTATTTTTATGCTTTTTAGGCTGGGATGAGGGCGTAGCAAAAGTGGGTTATTCCATTTTTTTGTTGTATATTATTATCATTTTTAATTTTTATTCTTAACTTATTATTATTTATATTATCATTATTATGACAGTTCGAAAAATTTTCTGGTGAAGATGTATAATGAATATAATATATATACCATGAATATAATTATTTCACTCTTAATTATATCACTATTTTATTATAATTATAATATATTCATTTAATTATAGTTAATTCTAATTAAAATTATGCCTTATTTAGATGAGTGTCGGGCAGGTTGCTAAGCTAACATGTACACCTGATTATGCATATGGCTCGTCTGGAGCTGGTGGAGTATATCCTTTTGAAAAAAATTATTCCCGTTATAATAAAATAATATTTAATTATTGTAAAAATAAATTATTCGTTAATTATGATCAAGAAGATATTTATTTATTTGGATTTATTGTAGTTAAGTGTAGAAAAGAAATTGATGTATTTCTTCAGTTACATCTACTATCAGATTGTTTTCTTAACTAATAAACACTATCCCACCAAATTCAACTCTCATCTTTGATGTTGAACTCATTGGAGTGAAGTAAAAGTTAGGCAGTCTGTCTGTCGGCCAGCACATCTCTGTTTCACTAATTTGTGTACTGCCAAGACAAAAAAAAGTTTCTTTTAGTGTTTTATTTGAGTTACTAATACTACATAGACATAATTCGTTTTTACATTTATAAACATTTTCATATCTATGTTATTGTGACAGGACAGTGATAAGAACGTTGATTTTAGAATAATCAAAATTTTTTGACTGGTTTACTAGTTGGTCTTGATTGATTGATTGAATTGGTTTTTTGATTGGTTTATTTAAATCTCCTGATATCAAAAATTTTTTTACTTTATACAATACATGAAACTATTTGACATAACGTAACGTAATATTATATTTTCCTTATTCAATACTAAACAGCGCTCCTAAATAGATAGGTTATATAAATTAACATTTCCTACTGAACATTGTATTATGGTATAAATTTTACTCTTGGTGTTTAGTTCGGTTTCCAATGCATTATGTATTATATTTGAGGTAATTGTAATGATAATTAGGCTGTTTATCCAACTGCATCTCTAACGTTTTTAATAAAAATAATTAATATTTTATCTTTGTTTTAGTTATATTTAAACGAAAATAAAAATTTTTATGAAAAATTTTTTAAACATTACTTCAAAGAAAAGTAAATAAAACAATCATTATATGAATATTTGGATATATAGTTTTGTTTCAAGTTAAAAGATGCTTGTCAGACCATGTGCATGTAGCAGGAATCCGTAGTCTTAGTCTTATTAGTAATAATAGGCTTGATGAGAAACAATAAATTGGTAGAAGTGGTACCAAGTATTGTACATTTGTGTTAAGGATACAAAATTGTTGTAATAGTAGCACCTCTATATGGAAAGTATCTACTTCGTTGGGTGTGCTACTATTCTCAAGCAAAATGGTTTAAAATTACTTGATAGTAACGCTAGCAGAGGTAGCAGTAGTGCAAGTTCTTATGCTAAATGTACAGAACTTGTACTGTTAGTAGTAGCAATAGTTTTAGTGAAGAAGTGGCTTTCAAATGTTGGAAATAAGTTTAATGGCAGTGGTTGTAAGAATAGTAATATTTTTAATGTTAAAAGTATTAATTAATATCAGTAGTATTGGTATGTGGTAAGAATACTTTCGTCTGCATAAATTTGTAAACCGATACGAAAAAATATACAAGTAAATATAGATTGAACAAAATAGAAGGATTCATTCTTTTACATCGGTACTTATATAGAATTCAGATGGGATTTTTATGGCGAAATTATGCAATACTCTTGAAATTCTCAATATCGCTATGGTATGCATACATGCATATAATATATACAACATGTATTTGTATATATGTGTATGTACATATACAATGTATATATATATATATATATATATATAGAATATATACCTACCAAAATATAACAACAACACACAACATTTGGACAATAATCACATACAACAAGAAATATATAGTATATAATATACTCATATATATATATATATATATATATATATATATATATATATATATATATAAGTTTGTATATGTTTATAAATAAATAAATGAAAAAACATCAACAAAATATATCAGTTGGAATTATGCTCTTGGGATGAATATTATTGTGCTTCATTTGCTTTCAATTGTGACGATATGGCGTTGTACAAAAAATAAGAGAGAGAGAGAGAGAGAGAGAGAGAGAGAGAGAGAGAGAGAGAAAGTGAGTGCGTATGAAGGAGGATATCGTTCTTGAGCTACCTCATCCATCTTCTTGTGAAGGTATAAACGGGAGATGGTTTTATTCACTTCCCGGAGAAAAATTGCATCTGTTTTGATGGAGAACAACGGATAATTATTTTAATACATTAGTTAGTGGTGTATTTTATAATATTCGAGTGAGTATCGAAACCGTTTCGTACCGCTGTTTCACACATCCCGTGAAAACTCGGTCGCCTGTTCGCTATCGGTATTCGGTCGAGTATTTCTCGACTGTTCCGTCTGATCGGTTCCTAAAGAATCGAGTACAGGAAATGGAAAAAAATTTTGGTAGTATAATTTTGCAAAATTAGAAAAATGAATTCAAATGATGCTAACAATGACTCCCATGCTGTGTGTGCTTGCGCGCCTGTTCTTATCCTCCGGATTGTTGTTCGCCCCCAAGAAAAACATACCCCCTCCACCACCAACGCCCCCTCCTCCCCCCCAAAATCCGGTGTTGGCCGCACTAAGGATTTCTTTAAAATCGTTAACCGACGGTTTGCTGACGAGTATCGAAGGAGTGTTGGGCGTCGGTGAGCCGGTAGCCGGTATAGATGCTTGCCTGCTGAAGTGGCACGGTAAGGAGCCCAACATGCTCCTTTGGCTCTTCACCGATGTTGGTTCCTCTAAACTTTGACTGTTTGGCTAGCGGTTTTTATCGAAAATGAATTAAATTTTTTCAAAATATCATAATGTTGTTATAAATTATATTAAACTGCATCATTCATTATCGCATCGTATCGTATCGTTATCGTAAAGTATTGTATTTCCATTGAATCTTAACGTGTAGTATGGTTTGGTATTATATAATATTTGATTACTTTGAAACAACCACCAAGTTGCAAGCATGGCTAACATTAAGCAGTGCCTGGTAACTGGAGTGCCTCCTACACGATGGCTGATTGGCTAATAAAGACGATGACGTAGGTTTCAACGCTGACGATGACGTCATCGCGATTGTCGAGAGCTCTCTCGATGAACCAGGCGCCGATGATGCTGATAACGATGTTGTTGACGGATCGATTGATGGATTGATTGATTGAGAGAAT